TCTCAGTATAGTTACAACGGCTGACCACCCTTCCAAACAAAACGCATTACTGCTTCACGGCAGAAACAGGTGGAGTGGTGGTACCTACCCGCGCGGAATCACAAGAGCTCCTACCAACAGTAAGCAAATTATAATTTTGCGGGTTTGATTTTTATTACACAAGGTTATTCCTTCACCGTGGAAGTCAATCGTGAACATTTGTTAAGTACGTATTTCATCAGAAAAAATGGTACCCGCCTGCGGGATTCGAGCACCGGCGCATCGCTCCACAAGAAAACACCGGACGTTTTATCCTTTAGACCACGACGACTAAAATTCAAATTATCGTTAATAAAAGTAAGAATCAACCGTAGAAGTTATTTTTTAATTATGTTCTCAAGTGAACTAACAAACTAACCTTGGTTTAGTCAAATACTACAAAGACCACTCAAAATAATAATTGTAACTTTTATCATTAAATGTTTCAAATCTCAAACCCAATTAATACAATAATCATCCCTTTCGTGTTAGAAATAAAATTCAATTTACAATATACCTAGAGTAAATCGCATGAATGTCGAGCACAAAAAGATCGCACGCAATGATACCTCGTGCTGTATTGTTGCTTGTAATGTGTTTCAAAGTGTTTAATGGGAATTATAGGGGGCTGTAATTGATTTCTATCTTTGAAGTGCGCCTGTGATCTCAGGGGAGCTATTTGTTGGCCTGGTTCTTTTGCTGTATTTTTTATACAGAAAAAATGAATTTATTCAACTAAAAACAATGCTACTCGGTTGCAATATATAATTGAATATTCAATTTCGAAAAGGGCACATCTCTGAAAATGTAAAATGTTCAGGAAATGAAAAAAGAAACTGATTATTTTCTAAAGCAGTGTAAAATTTAAAAAATATTAACTTTTGAGATATATTTTAGCGTTAATTAGCAATTGAAAATTACTGGAATTATTATAAAATTGGTGTAGGTAAGCCTCAAAACTACATGTAGGGATACCTATATGTGTATGAAAAAATGTATTTGACAAAATATGCGACATGTGCCCTTTTCGAAATTGCATATTTAATTATTTTTTGTGGTAATCACTTCTTTTATAAAAAATTATATTATATTTTAACTTTGTAGATAGGATGAAAGTTAATATTATATATTAACTTTTATACCTAATTTAAAAACAAAATGATCAAAATATGATCAACCCGAATTTGCATCAAATATATCGAAAAGGAAATTGTATTTTTTTATTACCCTTGTAGGTAGACGAGCATACGGCCCACCTATTGGTGAGTGGTTACCGTCGCCCATGGACTTCAGCAATGCCAGGGGCAGAGCCAAGCCGCTGCCTACCGCTAAAATGTGTGTAAATTTTAGTAAATATTCTCAACTCACAGACACACTAGATAATTGAATGGAAGATTCGAAGTCACTAGCTAAGCAAGTATAAGTGAACGCGCGCCGGTCCCCCGGTGCCGGATCCGGTAATCCGTTTAAGCCCGGAGCGGACACACCGACGCCCCGCGCGCGGCCAACCCACGACACCTCTATGTAAATATACCTACACGCTTCGCCTGCGGCTGCGGTCGGGCCTCGATCGCTAAAATAAAATATAGGGAAACTAAATTTTAACAACTCGCATTTTTTATATTTTATCATCGCCTTAGCAAATATCGATGTAATTAGGACGAGATAAGATCTATGTTACGGTTCGCTACTTAATGCCAGATGCGATGTGACCTGGTTACCGGGACCTGGGACCGGGTTTAGCAAAAAAAAATTTTTTTTATAGCTTAGATGGGTGGACGTGCTCACAGCCCACCTGGTGTTAAGTGGTTACATCTACGACGTAAATGCGCCATCCACCTTGAGATATAAGTTCTAAGGTCTCAAGTATAGTTACACCCTCAGACACAGCCCAATGAGGTTTTCGCCGGATCTTCTCAGTGGGTCGCGTTTCGGATCCGGTGGTAGATTCTGCAAAGCACAGCTCTTGCTAGGGTTCGTGTTAGCAACGTCGTCAGGTTTAAGCCCCGTGAGCTCACCTACTAGTGAAGGTTACGCTGTAATAGCCTCTCAAGGCTCTCAGCTATCGTAGGAAAAAAAAAAACTTGTTACAATGGCTGCCCCACCCTTGAAACCGAAACGCATTACTGCTTCACGGCAGAAATAGGAAGGGTGGTGGTACCCACCCGTGCGGACTCCCAAGAGGTCCTACCACCAGTAATAAATGTGTATGACACCACGAGTGCTCCTCTCTGTAGAGTGTACCGGATCCGGCCGCGCCCGGCTGCACGTTGTACGATAAAGTAACCCGAACAAATCCGTTTACCCGACGCTCACAGAATGTAATTCATTTTGTTCAACTAATCTCTCACTAAACGATATTTAATAAGCTCACAACTTTATTTGGCAAACATGAAGTACTAACTTACAAAAACTGTTTTCCTAACTCTTAATCCCATTCGACAAGAATTAAATTCGCGTAACCGCAAGGATTTTTACTTTTGCAATAAGAAAGCAATTAAGTGACGTCCAGATTACATTGGTCCCTCGTAACGCCAACATCTGGGTGTTTTGGTACATTTTTTGTGGGGAAAGGGTGGTTCTGAGGTTCCGGTTGTGATGGTCATGGTGGGATCCGTTTGACATATGTTCTGTAGGGAGGTTAAGCCTCTCCAGTTCATTATTGGCCCTTTCGCCCTTCGAGGGGCTCTTCATTCAATGTTTGTTTCTGCCTTTCATCTTACGAGTTTTGTTCAATACAGATGTATTTAAAATAAAATATGAGTTTTATTTTTATGATGTGTCAAGAATTCAAAATTCAAGTAGGAAGATAGGATGAAAAGGACCGTACGTTGTTGAATCAAATCCTACGCAAAATTCAGCCAGGATCTACTTGATGTGGATAGTGTGAAAAGATTATCTATACTAATATTATAAAGAGGAAAGATTTGTTTGTTTATTTGTATTGAATAGGGTCCGAACCTACTGAACCAATTTGAAAAATTCTTTCACTGTTTGGAAGCTACACTATTTCCGAGTGACATAGGCTATAATCGTTTTTGAAAAAATTAGGGATCCTTACTAAAACTCCAATAATGTAACCCAAGGTGTAAAAAAAATAGCTAAAATATTCTTTACATCGCGTGCGCTGCGAAAACTATTGATGATAGAATAAAATAATGTACTACGACTTTGTAGAACACATTATTATTTACAAAAAGTGTCGCGACAACATATGTCTATTATAGTTATGCCGCAATAAGTTTTCTTTTATTTAAAAAAATAAAACAACGTCAATTGAATTATATTAATAAAGCTTAAGTCCGCATTATTTTGATCGAAATATCGTGTACGAACAAACAACACAGGAGTACGCTTGATTGAAAATATAAATACAAATTTAAGGCCTCCGGACCAATACATCATCCACGAGCACATTCTCCTTCCAGAAGTAAAACCTGTTACTACCACAGTTATGTCGTAGGAGATACGAGTGGAAATACGACCAAAGAATTCACCGCCCAATGAGCAGCAGCGTTCCGTGAGCATCACACCCGAAAACCAAGACCCCACGGGTGTTTTTTTTTATGATTAAAGGACTACTTGTGGCCCGAAGGTCTTTCCAGTTTCACCAGGTCAGGTGGGCGAGCAAAGGCTCAGCCAGGAGGGGGGCCACGGGTGGGTACCACTATCCCGCTTATATCTGCGGTAAAGCAATCATGCGGCTCTTGTTTCGTAATAATACAGTTGAGAATTTGACGCTTCGTCTCCGAGTGACTGGTGGTATACATGTCCATGGGCTCCAATACGCGCTGAATCCAAGGCAGGTCGTAAACTTGTCTGTCCACTTACAGCAATGAAGAAAAATAAAAAATTATTCACAATATCGTTCGTGTAATTATGAACCCGGTAGTATTTCAAGATTTTTAGATTTTTAGAAGTATTAGATAAAGAAAATTACGAATGACTTGAATACGGGCTCACCGATTTAACCCTTCCCTGGGTGAGCTACTTATTAAGTTGTATAGACAAGATTAGTTGGCTTTTTCGTAAAATTGGGACTTTTACACTTATTTAGTTTGCTATTTATAGTTTAGCCACAAAATAGTTTATCATTGAAATTGACTGGCTATTTTTTTAAGATAAAATTTTTATTTTTTAAAATGAATTTGCATAATTCGATTAATTAAATAAAACCCTTAAAAATAAAATGCGATTTACAACTTAACGTTACATTCAGACGTAAAATCTATTTCAAACCGCGACTATATAGCGCTAACGACAAGACTGCTTTCGGCCTACGCGCAATGAAACTCAATAACAATAATGAATCAGGCGACGCCGGGTGGGTGAGGGGGAGGGGGGACTTTAGTATTTGCTTTCGATTGCGGTTTCACGAAATGCGGATATAATAAATTAATATCTATATAATAATACGTGAAGCAGAAACTTTGTACCCCTTTTTACGAAAATTTCGCGGACGGAGGAGTATGAAATTTCTCACACTTATAGAGAATATAGAGCAGGAGTTCAGAATGTTAATATTTTTTTTAATTATGCCTAAAATAATCATTAAATAAATAAAGAAAACATTACACACACTACCATGTATTTGAGTCAACAAATATACACACATATACACAGTATTTATAGTCAAACTTTGTCATTGTTGAAAGTCTGTGGTCAAATTGAGAATAGATTAATATTGTTTGTCTTTAATATCATTTGTCTATAGTTTATAGTCTTGGCGAAATCTGTGAGCTTCTATACTCACAGATTTCGCCAAGATAATATAATTCTTTGACAATAGAATCATAATAAGGAAGGAAGGAAGAATCATAATAATGTTCAAACTTATAATTTCAATTAATTATAGTCGAATTTCGACTACAGGGGGACCACTAGTTATAATAAATTATGCTTATTTTAGCATTTGGTATTCCTTTTCAGATTCGAAAACAATCATTTGCAACGTAAAAAAAAGTTTTTCAAATTGTACTAACCTGAACTCTGACCTCCGGCAGGTTGACCTTCATAGCCAGCTCTTCTCTGGAGTACACGTCTGGATAGTGACTCTTCTCGAAGGCACGCTCCAACTCATGAAGCTGGTAGGTTGTGAATGTGGTTCTATTTCTTCTGTGCTTCTTCTTGTTGTCCGTGGACTGCTGTGGCGTGTCGTCGTCGCTAGCCGGCGGTGACTTGTCATCGGTTCTCTGGTTGTAGCCGTCATTACTGTTACACGAACCCTCGCCTGGGGGAAATATATATGAATTATATACTTATTGCTTAGAGCTCATGTGTCAAGATGGGTGGCAGCATTACGTTGTTGATTTTTTTTTATTGCCTTTGTAGGCAGACGGCCCACCTGATGGTAAGTGGTCACCGTCGCTCATGAACGTCAGCAATGCCAGGGGCAGAGCGAAGCCGCTGCTTACTGTTACTTGTACTCTCCGCAGGCCTCGTTTGAAGAAGGACATATCATAGCGCTCAGAAAACACCGTGGAGGGGAGTTCATTCCAAATTCCAATGTCTATAGGCTCCAGTGACCATTTAACACTAGGTGGGCCGCGAGCTCGCCCAGGCTCTTTAGCAATAAAAAAAAACATTTTTATTCTCATCGAGCAAATATAGTTAGTTAGTACCTGTGTGTTTATAGCGATATTAGACACAAACTGTCTTCCTGTGTCATATCATCATCATAGCTAAGAGCAAAGCTGCTGAGCAGATTGCTGTTTACAGAGATCCAGAAAGGCAGGTTGGATGAACATATAGTAGGTATAATAATTATCAGGAGTGGTAATAGTTTAGGACTGCCATAACAACTCTATTACTGCGAAGCAATAATGCGTTCCAGTTAATAGAGTAGGGTAGACCTCATTCAAACTTTATGTCTCAAAGTTGAGGTGACATTTAATATACATTACTGCAGACGCCTTACATCACTTTCATTCAGTTTTGCTCTGTAGGTGAGATGACTGAGGTTTTATTCGTCGACGTTTTAAAATTTTGCCAACTACCGTCTAATTAAAGTATATCATTTCAGACAGAATGAACTAATAGTGTCTTCAGGTCTATTTGACTTGGGTTTTCATGATCACGATTAGAGAAACCAGGTGTTAGACAAGCGCTTATATAGCATCGTAGCATTGGCAATAATATAACGACAACTTTTTTTTATGATTGAAAGATAACTGGTGGCCCGGAGGCCTTTCCAGTTTCACCAGGACAGATGGGCGAGCAAAGGCTCAGCCAGAAGGGGGTGGGATTTGCTAACATCAGCCCGAGCGCCTCTGAATTAGACCTAACAACTCAAAAGCAATTAATGGCAACAATTGACGATGACGTTAAAACGCAAAACTAGTTGTAATTATGTCTACGACTCGTGAATACTGACGATCTAAACCAGCCTTTCCCAAAGTGGGCGATAACGCCCCCTTGTGGACGCTGCAGGCCTAAAGGGGGGCGGTAAGGGACCCAGAAAATAAAGGGGGCGTTGTGTAGTCTTGGGAGGCGATTTGTAATTTCATCTAGGAGGACTCTTAGATACCGACTGAGCTCTCGCTATAGTGGGTTTTAAGTAGATTCGATGTCGTCGTGGCCTAAAGGATAGGACGTCCGGTGCATTCGTATGTAGCGATGCACCGGTGTTCGAATCCCGCAGGCGGGTACCAATGTTTCTAATGAAATACGTACTTCACAAATGTTCACGATTGACTTCCACGGTGAAGGAATAACATCGTGTAATAAAAATCAAACCCGCAAAATTATAATTTGCATAATCCCTGGTGGTAGGACCTCTTGTGAGTCCGCACGGGTAGGTACCACCGCCCCGCCTATTTCTGCCGTGAAGCAGTAATGCGTTTCGGTTTGAAGAGTGCGGCAGCCGTTGTAACTATACTGAGACCTTAGAACTTATATCTCAAGGTGTGTGGCGCATTTACATCGTAGATGTCTATGGGCTCCAGTAACCACTTAACACCAGATGGGCTGTGAGCTCGTCCACCCATCTAAGCAATAAAAAAAAAAGGATGAATAAATGGGGGCGCTAAAAAAGAATTTATTCTCAAAGTGGGCAGTAGAATATAAACTAAACTACTGATCTAAACTATAAACATTAAGTAACACCACATACGACTATGTGAGTCGTCTATTATCAAAGGTGGCAATCTGTGCATTTGGACAAAATAATTTTATTGATATGTCAATACAGATTGATTTGAATATAATCGTCTCCTTCAAAGAATACGGTTCAAAACCTGCATTAAATAAAGGTTAATACTTAACCTGTTATTTATCTAAGATGTCGTTCAGAAGAGTTTTGTGACTGCCAATGGAATACAAAGTCAATAATTCGTTTTTCTGATTTACCAATCATTGTCCAAAAGTCAGATTGCCGGCTTTGATAATAGTCGACTCATGTATTACACATCGGACCCGCTCCACCACTGAGCCACGTGCTCATAATTCCCTCGCACAACAATTATGAAGCGAACGCGCAGACAACAAACAATATATCAAACGTAACGATTTGTCTGTTTGTTCTGCACGATTGTGATCTACACATCTACAACAATCATTTACATAGCTATTATATTCAAATTTCACTCACCGTTTACGAATGAAATATTTCACAGTTTTGTTATGAAATTTTACTTAGTAATTAAGGCACATTGTGTTTACTTTAATATACAAAATTAAAGATGTATGAATTCTTAACTAAAATACGTTTATAACAAGGCCAATTTCTAAGAACGTAGTAATTTCTAGATTTGAGATGAGTTGATCAGAGATCTTTTTTGCCACGTACCATCCGCCTTGGGAATGAGCTCCCCTCCACGGTGTTTCCCGAGCGCTATGACATGTCCTTCTTCAAACGAGGCTTATGTAGAGTACTTAACGGTAGGCAGCGGCTTGGCCCTGCCCCTGGCATTGCTGAAGTCCATGAGCGACGGTAACCACTTACCATCAGGTGGGCTGTATGCTCGCCTGCCTGCACGGGCTATATATATTATATACTTATAGATATGGCAGCTTATATCCATTGTCGATACGTTCTCACAGACTACCAGATACTAAGTTGTCACCACGGCCTTTAACCATGAAGATTTCGCCCAGTTTCTGTTACATTATATCACAGTTAACCAGAAATATACCTATATGTTGGAATCTAACCTTGCGGATTCACAACAAGCCTTACTACCGGTAAAAGAAAATTTATGTAAATTTAATTATTATCAATATGAATAGTACAGTGCACGATATTGTTAGTGTGTTCCTTCATAAAGCAGTCCCTTCACTGCTGAAGATATGGTAGAACAGCGTGTTTGATGTAAAGATTACGTATGATGTATGATGACACACGCAGCTCGTTCACTAGGGGACTAGGGGTCCTATTCTACTCGGACTAAGTACTGGGACGTGGCCCAGTTTTTTTTTTGCTTATATAGTTGGACGAGATCACAGCCCACCTGGTGTTAAGTGGTTACTGGAGCCCATAGACATCTACAACGTAAACACGCCACCCACCTTGAGATACAAGTTTACCGAAACGCATTACTGCTTCACGGCCGAAACAGGCAGGGCGGTGGTACCCACCCGCGCGGACTCACAAGTGGTCCTACCACCAGTAAACCTAATACCACCTAATACTACATACCTAAAACCACTAGTATTACCTATACTACGTCTTGTATCAGGTATCAGAATAGTCATCAAAGTTTGTTAAAAAAATTTCAGATTTAAAAATTACCAATTGTGTCCATTCAATTGATTGTTTTTGTATATTTTATCGAAAAAGCTCCTAATAAATGTAATGTTGTTTGGATTTAGATTTTTAATGTTTGTATGTTATAGTGGCGCGAAATGCTATTTACGCGTTCCCATTTTTTTTGTATCTATTTATTGATTAAAATAGAAACTCGATTAAAAATGTAGAATAGGGATAGCAGCGCATAAAATAAAACTTCCCCTGTTCCAAAATCTTCTCTTCTAATAATAATTAATAATTAACACTTTTATTACGTCTTACTCATTTTTCAACCGTCTTCGCCATCTTACTTTTCTCTGTCATTCTGTCTGTCATTCTCTTCTCCCTTTCTTTCCGTTTTCTCTCACTCACATCTTAACGCTCCGTTCCACACTCTTTTCATACGTTCCGTTCTTACCAATCCTACAGAGATATATTAGTGTGATTTCGAATAGGCACCTCCTGGGTAGACCGGTCGAATGATATCGTACAAGCTTGTATGCATTCGATTTCATTTCTCCCCTATAATTCTATGTCATGTACGCCAACCCTATTATTGGGCACCATTAATAAAGTAAATACTAGTAAGTTCTGATCACAGCTCTTAACATTAAAATTTATTTCATGGTACGCATCCAACTTACTTGTTCATCGAATTAATAAATCAGTATTCATGAGTGTATCCCTCAAAACTATATTTCATTGAACAATCAGGATGGTCAAAGCGTTTTGGTTATCCCGGCAACCCTGCAGATCAAAAACCAACATCTCAATAAAGATTCATATCTAAGCGAACAAAAATATGTCATCCGTCATTCACAGATTACTCAATAAAATGTATCCTTAATAAAAGTGACAAAACATTGTATTAAATCGTGTAACTCTACAACATCGCAATCTCTCTCGCACTCCTCGTAGACGTAGCTTATAGAGAGAGACAAACATAACATTAAGATTTTCGATAAGATAAATCAAAGCAAATGAACAACAAAAATATTACCAACGCATTAAGATGTTTCAATTGATACGATCGCTTTATTTCTTTTTTTTATGTAATAATTATCGTTAAGCTGGCAACACTCGCCATAATGGGCTGTCTGGTTGTTTTTTAGGCTCGGCAACCCTAATCACGTGTCAGATTTGGCGCGTTAAAACTGAACGCGGCTTAATGATTGTACAAAATGGATCTTATTATTGAATTACTCGATTTTCGGGGTTCTATTGGGTTTCAATTGAAACCTTTTCTCTAATTTTGATGAGAATGTCCAATGAAAGATTACTATTGGTTGATTTCCAAAATATGTACATTCTTTTTTCGTGTTATCTTAATAACAAACTATCAGAGAAATTAATACAATACTGAGTTGAATCAAAGGTCGACAAGGTTTTTCACCATGAACTTAACTAAGTTAATTTGTTTACTCGCGCTTTTTGACGAATAGATATGACATATTGAGACGGCACGGGCCAGTACCATCATTCCGACTATTGTCACCATGCGCTTA